TAGGTCTGATTATTTATTTACTAAAATTTATTACTAAAGAATAACTCTTACAGTTGTAACACCTGATAACTTAATATTCAAGTTTTTTGTACTCATCTAACAAAAACCTGTTAAGACTTTTATTATTTTTCTTGATGTGATTTTGATAACTAATGTTTTATCTAAGTAACTGCTTCAGAATCTTATCGATCGACAGGCAACAGCATTTGTTTTCACGGTAGTTCTTACCTGATAGAATCTCCTAGCGAAATTCTTGTTGTTAAGTTCAGTAGTCTTTTTATAGTAAAGGCAAACAAATTTCAGCTAACTTTGTAAGGGCAAGTAACTCTCTGCTTTAATAAAGCAGTTTTCCACTGTCTTGAAAATAAGCTGTTTCTATGGTAATTGACTTTTTTAAGACTATTTTGTAAAATATTTCAAGAGCTCATGTAATCTTGTTTTCAGTACTTAAAATGAAATGTCAGAATTCTTTAAATGCAAATTATCAGAAGAAATATTTATGTAGTAAGAATAACAAAATAGGTAGTTTAAAATAGAAGTATTTAGTAAGTTTGTTAAAGGTTTTTTTTATGACTTATAAGCCATTAAATTGAGCTGACAAGATGGCATCAAAAAGAAGAAACAACAGCACACTGGTAGTATTATTGACTTTATAGCTACTTTATAAATAATATAATACATTGATTTAAAAAACAGCTTTGCTATTAGGTCGGTTCAAAAACGTTATTTAAAATGCAACAAAAAAAAAAACTATTTTTTGAAGCAACCATGAGAATCACAGACAGAGGCAGCTACAAGTTTCATTCACAACTATGCTGTTTCAGATGAGCATTGTAAGGAAATGCCTTCCTGCACTGTTGGCATTGTACCTTCTTGGAGTCCAGGGTCATTAAAAAAACATAAGCAGCCATCAGGTCCGCATCTGAGCAGTTTGTACATTCACTGTGAGTTCTAAATGATTCAGTAAACGAAGTAAAATTTAAAGTTCTGTAAAATTATTAAATATCATTTGTAGCAGAAAATTATTTTCACCCTTATTTGAAGAAATTACCAAAAGAAAATGACTAGCTATTTAATAATATTAGATTAAACAGGTGATGTACAATTTTATAATGTCTTTCACGTAAAAGAAACGTCAGTGAACTGACGGTGACTATTTATGCAACTAAGGTTACCTTAAATGGGAACGAATGCCACGATGTGAGTATCCTTTATAGCCGCATAGTTGGCAGATATAAGCCTGAACAGCAGCATGATTAGAGCGAACATGTTGTGCCAATTGACTAGCACTTGCTGGCTGAAAATCACACTGCTGGCACCGGTTTGGTACCTATAAATATTAAAATAATTAATTTATTACAAAGAAAAAACTATTTTACAATTACTTTACAGCGAACAAAACAACTTTACCGTCACCTTAAAAGAAAATATTAATTTCTCTACATTTCCCAAGTTTTTCTTCAATGACTGTACGTGTAATTATAATAAATGATAAACACACTTTACGCTGTGGCTCCCGAAATACTTCATTATGATCTGTCGAATTTCTGCAGTAATACTTTTTGTGGCCAATTAATGTTGATTCGTTGTTAAACGACACCCCGCAGTCACAATGAAAACGTTTTTCATGATCAGTTGCTAGTTTCTCTTGCTAAATTTGATTGAAGTTATCAAAAACTTTTAGCTGGAAAATGTAAATCAAACGTTCAATTATTCAAAATTGACATGATGTAATTACTGTTAGGTAGTTTTAACAACTAATCAACAAAACACTTCGTCAACATAGTATTCTAATACCATTTTAATGCAACTGAGGTTACCTTAAGTGAGAACAAAGTCTAAAAAATTTTGAAAAAAATTTGCTGAATTACCGTGGAAGACGTTGGTTTTTCATCCATCAAAATATCTGCTGGCCGTTTATTAAAATGCAACGAAAGATCCAATGGTGCATAGTCATTTAACGATGAATCGACTGCGGATGAAGGTTTTTCGGCTACTCTGAACCTAAGCTGAACCAGTTAAAGTTTTTCATTGTTACTTTGACAGATGCTTATTAAAGTCTTAATATTTATGTAAAATTATGAAAAAAAAACAACGGATTGTTAGAAATTGCTTTATAATTTTATCATAGACAACCTTTTACGCCTGTTATGACCAAAGTCTAAACCAAATCCGTGAGAAGAGTTTGTAAATCTTGTTAAAGCAAGTGAACATTGTGTCTCGTTAATTTTAATCGACTTTGGAACAGTCAAACCATTTGCAAGTGTTTCGTCAATGTGTATTGACGGAGTATACAACGGTAAATTCACTCTACTAATCGCAACCGGGATTATCACTTGTGGATAGCCAAGAATCTAAAAAGCATAGTAAAAGAAGTGATGAAAAGCTTAATAAAACTTGACTACAGTAACAGTTGAAGAATCACTTATAGAGGAATTAGCAGAAAATTGTTGCAGATTCAGCAGCAGTTTTAAGCTGCACAGTAACCAGTTCTTTGACAAAATTGTCTAAATTGAAACTTGGGTATAACTGGGCAAAACTTGATTTTTTTGTCGAAGCTTAGCTTGTACTTGAAAATAAAACTGACCTGCATACGTACCGATGGATTGTTGTGATATGCAACAGGTAAATAAATTGCATGAGGTGGAGCAACTTCAAATGAGAGGTCATAACTGGTTGATGCTACGGCTGAATCTGAAATCGTGTCTGGAAGCGAACACATTGGTGAGATTTCTGGAGTTGACGACGCTATAATGATAGATAAATGAAATAACAGAAAAATAACCATTTTAAATCTCCAAATAGTTTAGTTTGCTCGTTAAAAACTTATGATAAAATTGTAAAAGTAGTCAAGAAAGTCACGATACCAGTTGTCTTTGGCGACGAAGTACATTCTGAATCAACTGAAGAGCAAAAATTTGCTAGAAGTTCAGAAAAATTATCTACAGTTCGATTGACCCTGATAAATAGACCAATCTCTAAAAGATAGACTTTATGTGAATTAGAAAAAATAGCAATTTTAATGTTTTTAGTAAAAAAAATCAGAGTTTAGTAATAACAGACCTGAGCCAAATAAATCACAATTAGCGTTTTTGGAAGTCTTTGCAATACCAATATTAAAATTACGTTGAGCGGCATTTTCATCTAATAAATACAGTTGCAACTTTCCAGCCATATCACTTCTTATCAACTATAATATAAGTTAGGTTCTTCTTTGCAATAATAACAAATTAATTGTGCAAACTGGAAAGATTTGAATGTTAATTTGCTTGTTTAAAAAATTGAATCACCTCTGAACTATTAGTATCATCCTGATCAAAAACTGGACCACGAAGCTGAAATGGTCCTAGGATTGTGCCAGCCAACTGACGGCCACTACAGCCATTTGTTTGTGCACCGATATCAGAAGCCTTAACAATAACGCTGGCTGAGGTAAGATTTGTTGCATCTACGGCTTCGTTCATTTTATCAGATAGACGTGACGGTTTCAACTGTTTACGACGTGATGTTACAATGTCACTCATTCGCTGTATACCATCAGTGCTGCCAAATCTGGAAGCATAGCTATCACTGTTGGATTAGGCTTCAGTTCAGCTGAAATATTAACAACTTATCAAACAGTGATCATTAAGAGCTGTAAAAAAAAAAAAAAAATTTTTGTTTTTTAGCGTTTATAATCAAAAAATTTTACCTATATTTATTCTTTTGACTTTCTGCAGAAAAAAACTGTTACTTTATGACGACAGTTATTATAAATTGAAAAAGAAAGTATTTGTTAAACGAAAAGAAGATATAATTTTGAACGTTTCTTCAGATGCCCAGACTAAGTTTTCGCTGTTGAAATCAATCAAGAAAAAAAAAACCTAGTTGTTATTTAGCCGTTAAAATACAGATACAAAATTTTATAACAAAGAATTGTTTTTTTTTTTTTTTAAATTTATAAAACTAACAGTAAAAAGAGAGGAAAAAAAAAGATAATATTCAAAGATTAGCTGTATTGATAAGCATACAAGGAAATATTATTAAAATCACCAGTTTTTTTTCATTTATTAATCCGATACATTGGTGTAATTCTTTATAAGATAACAATAACAAATAAGGTTTCAGAATCAACGTTAACTATACGATAGTGATAACTGCTGCATTTGGTATTATAAATTATCAATCTGTTAATTATGTGCTTTAAAAAATTATTGTCTAATCATTTTGCTAAGAGTTTTTTTTTTTGCATATGATTAAGCCGTTATATAAGTTAG